ACAAGTGTGCTCATGCCGCTGCAATTATAATCCATGGGATCCACAACCTTAGTCGAACAGATGTCGAGTGTGAATGGAAGAAGCAGAAGGCTCCGCTAGATGTAAAATCTGTAGAAGAACTCTATCCATGCCCAAAAGAATACAACTGTCTTAAACGAGAGGTTAATGATGATGATAGGTCCTGGTTCTACCAAGAACTCAAAAAGTATGGCAGCTTTACTGGTACTTTGTGGCTTCTCTCTCCCGAACCAGCAAAAGCTCTACTCCCAATTACCCCCGTTGAAGACATCATTGTATCATCAGAATTCATTAATCATAATAACCAGCGTGAATATCTTGTTAAAAGATTAGAAATCACTGCAGAACAGCGGTTGAAAGTGAATCAAGTCACCATAAAACAACGAGAAAACCCCTCTTGGCATATTTTACGAAAGGGAAGACTGACTGCAAGCAATTTTGGGAGTGTGCTAAAGGCTAAAAAAGCAACTCCATCGTTCATCAAGCGAGTCCTTGGCCAGTATGATTTGTCTGGAGTAAAGGCCATTCACTGGGGGATCGTTAATGAAAATGAGGCAAGGAAAGTATTTGAGCAGAAAACAAATTTAAAGGTAGAGGATTCCGGGCTATGGCTTGAATTGTCTGGCATTTTGGGTGCCTCCCCTGATGGCTTAATTGATGAAAATGCATTGCTCGAAATAAAATGCCCTTACAGCCAGAGAGATTGCACCATTGAGGAAGCAATCAGATCAGAAAACTTTTATATAAAAAAATATGATGATGGTGTGTATCAACTGAAACAAACACACGATTACTGGCATCAAATTCAAGGCCAGCTTCACTTGACTGACAGGGAAGTTTGCTTTTTTGTTGTTTGGACAACAAAACAATCCTTTATTATTCAAATCAAGAAAGATCCTGCATGGGCTGAGAATCTGCTCATTTTGAAGGACTTTTACATAAAAAATATGATTCCTGCATTTGCAAAAGATCTTTTGTAATTGTATTTTACAAGTATTTGTCTAAATATTATAATTGCTTGTCTTTCAAATGGTGTATACATCAAAGTTAATAAAACAAGAAAATTTCACAGTACAATCCAACACAATTTTTGAGTATGATGTATTGATCAGTATGATTAAGTTTTTAATTAGTATGATTGATTTTATGGAAATAAACAGCATCCAGTTTTGAATATAAGACAATCTTTATTGCAAACTGTAAAGGGCAACCAAACATTTGAAAGAATGTTAAGTCCAGGGCAAATGAGCTGAACATTACATTCAACAACATTCAAGTTTGAGGTAAAGAAAAAATCCAACTAACTTGGCAATCTTACTCAGTCAATGAACATTTTAGTAAAGTATTTCAGTAAAGTTTTAGTAAACAAAATGTGGTTAGTGCCATGTTCATTTGATTTTGCCTCTCACCTTAAGAAATACTGAATATTTATCCACAATCTGCCTGTATAAATTTTGAACTGACCACAGTTGCTCACTTGGCAATGGGTATGTAATGTTCAGTTCACTTGTCCAGGGCTTTTTTAAGTCTGTAATTTATATGCTATTCAAAAATAGGGTTAAGGCTCAAAATTAATTCTAGTCAAGTTGATTTCAAATTTTTGTTTATGTTCTATTCATTTTGACATTAAAAGAAAATTATGTTAAATCTACAGTGTCTCTGATTTCTCTGATGAGTGAGTTTTGCAAGTTGACCAGCCCAGCACACAGTTTTAAAAGTGTTTCAGAGTAGCATCGAAGGTATGGTGGAATAAAGCTTAAGATCTTAAAATCTTTAAGCCTTGCGTTTGCTCGTTCCACGTGAATTCTGCATCGTGCAATTGTTTTTGTGAGCTTTATTTCACTTGAATTAAACTTTCCATTATATAAGAATTGGGGAATGTTCACGGAAACACCTGGGGGAAGAATATCTGTTATTAAATACCCCTTGTCTGCCAGTATCAAATCTCCTGCTTCAAAATGATGTAACACTCCAGATTTTTCAACAATGGCTTTATCAGATGTTGAGCCAGGAAACAGTTTGCTTACATAAGTAATGACAGCATTTGGTGCAACCCCAATCAGTGTCTTGAATGAGTTCATTCCTCGGTATGTTGAATAGATCAGTTTCTGTTCACTCATCAAGCCAGGGGCAGCAACCTCAATATCAGTGCAGTCAATGATCATTTTACAATGGCCAAACAATGAAAATGATTCAGGCATAGAGGTTCTGTTCTTTTCCCTTGAAGGCACAGTTTTTAAACAGTCCTCATAAAGCAGCTTGCAAAGTACATGAACAAATGTTAATATTATATTACTGATCGTTGAAGTGCTACAGTGAAAAAGCTCAGCCAAGTGCAGGTTTGTATAGTTCTGTCGTACTTTCATTAGGGTTATAAAAACTTGATCTTCCAACAAAATCTTGTCAACTTTCCAGCCATAATAGTAGTCGATATCATTTGAGAACCGTCTTACAAAATTGACAACGATAAGGAATATATCCTTATTTGTTAGGCCAGTCTCCATGCAAATTACCTCATCTTTCAGTGATAATACCGAGTAAACTTCCCTCTGGTACGTCCCTTTAATTTTCAAATCCTTTACTTCCTTTCTTAGATTTTCTACTTCAATTTGAAGCAGAACTTCTCGAGTTGGCGTTTCTGTGTTGTTTTCTCTTGAAGTGGAGGCAGCAGAGGCGTAATACTGTTCAACGATGTCTGAAACTAACATTAGGCCACTTGGATTTTCGGGAGCTGGCTTTACCTTTTTAGCAATTTTCGGCTTTCGTACTTCGGTGGTTGGAAAGAATTTATCTGCATTTCTTTTGAAGATTTCGGGGCCATTTACTTTTAATTCGTCGCGGAAATGGCAGCTACAAACACGCGAATTACTTCCCGGAGCTCGGTCTTGTCGTCTAAAAAGATAAATTTAATACGTATCTATTTAATCAAGCATCTAACCATAATATTAGCTATGGTTTAAAATGCTTTTGACAATATAAAAGCCATTAAATCAAGACTACCATAAGACAAAGATAATTGCCATGAGGCAACACGAAGATAACACGAAGATAACACGAAGTGAACCAACTAAAACATTCTTACCTCAACAGCTTTTTCCACCGTTCAAACTCACTAGGGCTCTTAGGAAATCTATAAAATTTGCATGTCTCCCTTTCTGACTGATGATTGCAGTCCGGGGCAAAACACTGTACCATTTTTCTTCGCCTATGTTTTGCTACTCGAAACCAGACGCCATGATGAAAACTTTGTTTAGAACCAGTTGAAACGCTTCCATGGCAACCTGACGTCACGACTTCGGTACTCTATAGAACCAGTATCTTTTAGGTAATATAATGTTACTGCAATTTTTTTCTCTAATGTCAAGGCCCTGTAATTTGGTGATGTTCCTGGCGAGATAAATGGTCGTAATTTATCACAAAGAAGAAAAAACTGTAATTTGGTCATTCGGAAGTTTCTTTTCCATTCATCTTCAGGTGAAATTCCCTCAACATATTCGCCCACCAAGACTCCGTTCTTCCATTTCTGACCCAAGTACTTCTTTTCTTTCTCAACATCCTTTTCATCTGAATGTGCTTCGCTTTTCTTCGCATTCTGCTTTTCTTTGCATTCTACTTTTCTTCATTGCGCCATATGCAAGGATTTTTCGACACATAATTTTTTGTTGAAGTAAATACAAATAAAGAATGCCTTGGAATTGCATCAATAAAGACACAAATATTCCAATTTTACGGCAAATGCTTGTAAATCGTGCTCTGTTGCTTTTTGTTGCCGCCATTTTCATCAGCACAGAAAATTAAAACTTTCCCGCCAAATCATTGCACAACTTATTGCACAGGGACGAGAGCTCAACCGCGAGATGAGTTTTTCTCATGTAATCGCAAACAGAAATCCGTCTCGGGTACTAGGGCCAGCCCTCTTGATAGGGCCAGCCCTCCTCATGTAATCAGGCC